TCGGCGTCGGCCGCCGCGCGGCGGTCGGCGTCCGCGGCCGCGCGCCGCGCGGCCTTGGCCGCGCGGTCCGCGGCGCGGACGGCCGTGAGCGCGCCGAAGACGGACCCCGCGGCCGCGGCCTCGGCCGCGCACGCGCGCGGCCCGAGCGGGTCGGCCGCGAGGAGCGACGCGGTCCGCGGCAGGGCCGCGCGCGGGAGCTCGAGCGGCGGCGGCGGCGCCGGCGCGGCCCCGGCCGGCGCGGCCGGCGGCCGCTCCGCGCGCGCGGGCGGCGACGTCGGGCCCGCGGCCGGCGGCGGCGCCGCGGGCGGCCGCGCGGGCGCCGCCTTCGGGCTCGCGGCCTTGGGGCTCCGCCGCTCCCGGTCCGCGCGGGCCCGGACCTTGACGCCGCGGTGCCGCCGCGGCGCCGCCGGCGCCTCGTCGCGGAGCAGCGCCGCGACCGCGCGGTCGCGCGCGACGCGGCCGCCCCGGACGTTCGCGGCGGCGACCGCGGCGCCGAAGGCGAGGAGGAGCAGGAGCCCGGCCGCGGAGAAGACGTTGGGGAGCGACGGCACGGCGACGCCGCCGCGGGGCGCGGCCGGCCGGTGCGCGGCGCCGGGCGGCGGCTCGGGCGCCGTCGCCTTGCGCGGCGGCGGCTCCGCGACCGTCGCGTCGTCGAGGACGTGGAGCTCGAGGTCGCCCGCGCCTGTGTGCAAATCAACCAGTGAGCTGGGACGTCGGGGCAAAACTTCAGAAATCTCTAGCTCGGTCAAATCGAAGTCGATTCGGCTGATTTTTGGACGAATCGATCGCTCTCGTCGAGTTCTCTACGGAGATCAGAACAGGTTGCGTCGAAGTCGTCGCATACGCTCACATTGAAGTCGTGTTGAAGATTTGATTTCCACACAGGCCCGCGCGGATCGCGTTCTTGATCTTCTTGCGCATGAGCTTGGTCCAGTCGCCGACCCGGGACCGCGCGCGGAGGTCGACGCCCGCGACGTGGAGCAGGCGCAGCGCGTCGCCGTGGCCCGCGGCCGCGGCCGCGCGCGCGGGGTCGAGCGCCCCGCCGTCGCCGCCGACGCGCGCCATGTCCGCGCGGCCGCCGGCCCGGAGCGCCTCGAGGACGCGCACGAGGTTCTTGGCCGCGGCGACGTAGAGCGGCCACTCGCCCGTCTCCGGGTCCGCGAGCTCCGGGTCCTCGCCCGCCTTGACGAGCGCGACGGCCGCGTCGCTGTCGCCCGCGCGGAGCGCCTCCCGGAGGAACGCGCCGTCGCCGAGTCCCTTGACGCCCGCGCGGATGAGGAGCAGCACGCAGTCGAGCTTCCGCTTGCGCACCGCGAGGAGCAGCGGGCTCAGGGAGCCGCCGCGGCCGTCCGGCGGGCCCGCGTCGAGGTCCGCGCCGGCCTCGACGAGGACCTGGAGCGCGTGGACCTTGCCGTGCGACGCCGCGAGCGACGCGGCGCCGTGGCCGTCCGGGCCCGCGGCGC